GGCTGAAACTCAATTATTTTAAAAAGCAACACCAATATGAAGATATCTACTGTACTATATAGTCTATATTAAATGTCTGATATGTTTTATTTTCATGACTTTATAGCAAATTCTTTACCAAGAAAACACATATAATTTACATGGCAGAGTAAAATTACCATGTGAATTTACACCTTTAAAAATAAAGAAACATGAACTTTAATGTTCAATTTACGTTTTCCGAAGAGATATGATAGATGATGGAAAACACCCATTTGCTGCAGTAGAAACCTTCCATAAACAATAATAAAAATACCGTCTTGTATTTTATTTAATATGTTTTCCTTATAAGTTTTGGAATTAAAAAAATACAGCATGTTTAAGAACTTTTCATTTACAACAGTTAAATTATAGATGTATAAACAGTTGGGTGATCTCTGATGACGTATTTAAAAGCTTTAATAAGGAACAATGACAGCACAAAATATTTTAAACCTCTTCTTATTCTTCTTATTCAGGTTGTGTATGCAGGTCTTGCATACATGTGCTATGAATAAATGGATTATTGGCCTAACGTAATGTCAGAAGACTACTGTGGTGATGATTGATTTTCTCCAGTGAAAACAGTTTCAGAAAAGGTTTACAAAAGTTATGGAAGACACTACTATAATAATTTCATTCTAGCATGAATGCTCCTTTATATTTTAACATCTCTGATATCAGAATGTCTTACAGTTGTTCTCCGAGTTGAAGATGCTTTCTTCCAGAAATAGTTTGTTCTTACTTCTTCCAGACACGTGAGACCCTACTAAGCTGACAGCTCCTTAAATTCAAGTTTTGTCTGAAGCTTTTGGTCCACCCCGTTGGTGTGAATTCAGAAATTAAACCTTCATGAGGGCCACCTTTGTGGTTCAAGGAGTAAAACAGGCAAATTTCTTTGCTATCTTCTTTCGGTTGGGAATTTATTTGTGAATTCAGAAATTAAACCTTCATGGTCGGACCACCTTTGTGGTTCAAGGAGTAAAACAGGCAAATTTCTTTGCTATCTTCTTTTGGTTGGGAATTTATGTGTGAATTCAGAAATTAAACCTTCATGAGGACCACCTTTGTGGTTCAAGGAGTAAAACAGGCCAATTTCTTTGCTATCTTCTTTCAGTTGGGAATTTATTTCTCCTTTGTGCCAATACTGAAACATATTGCGTTCTGGCTTGATGCTGGGACCATATATTAGATTGTCCATTTTGGACAGTTTTTCTCTCTAAGCAGTACATAAAATAATGGTGCATGTTACATTCAGTGATGTCTTAGACTTGATACAATTTGGTAATTTATTAAAGTTAGGGATTTTTTTAGGACTGACATCAGCTCATCTATCAAATCTTGCGGCTTCTCTTGGGGCCAAATGCTCAGATTCATAGTTGGATTCTCTACATGTATAAAAGAAGCTAAAGCACAGACCAGATTAGCATTGCTCCAAAATACTAAATTTACAGCTCTGCACACCATAAAGATGACACTGCCAGAGATATTTTATGAAATTTTGGAACAATTTTGGAATGATTTCATTTAAATTATGCCAACCAAGACATAAATTGAGATCAACTAGTTGTGGAGATAATGAAGAAGGTTGAATTCTGCCAACATTTTACTGTGGGTTGTTGGAAAGGAAATGCATGTATGTAGAACAGCCAAGAGAACTATTACAAAGTGAAATTCAATGATGGCATTAATGTAGAAGTTCGGACATAAAATATTTCAAAGATGCAAAAATCTAAGATGTTAATTTTCAAAAATTGTTACTTCTGCTATAGCTTTTTCCTTTCTGGACATGTAGATCATAGTACAGCTCGTTTAGTAAAGAAGGAAGAATGAGAGGTAGTTTAAAGGTAAGTTGACTCAACCACTTATGCTCTTGAATGCAAAGTCAGACAAGCTCCAATTCTGTGCACAACAGTTATTTTAGGAAAGGGAACATACTGGAGGTTTCTCGTTAGCATTGTGTATGAGTGAATGGGAAGACAAGAAGATCTGCTAGCAGATATATTTAGGGTTTTGTACTGAAATTTCCCAAGGCAAAAGGCTACCAGTGATGGGGGAGAGTGTGCTGGACCAAGGGGAAGTGGAGCTGGATTCTTCTGTTTCACCCGGTCCAGCTCACCATTAGTGCTGCCTTTACAAGAGAGTGAACAGAGCACTGAGTAAGTGTTAAAGGTTTCATCGAGAGTGAAATGTCTCCCACCTTAATTCTGAGTTGTTTTATACAGTCTCTCTATTAAAACCTCAGGAGATGTAAAATATAGAGTTTTACACAATATGTTTACCATTACAGCTGGAACTGATGGTCCTGAAGTGTATAATTGGCTTCAGGGTGCTTAGCAGTTTCTGTGAAAACATCTCATATCTTTATATGTTTCCTTATGAGCACATATATGTTATTCAATGTGAGATGGGACATTAGCAAGGCAACATACATGATTTAACAGGGTTGAGCTCTGGATTTCTGCCCATTTTACTGTCAAAGACTGACATCACCTATTCCAAGATAATTCACTGATTCCTAATGTTGACTCAGTCTGACCATATGGGAATGCCTGACTTAGTTTCCAAACATTTGAAATTTACTGTAATCTATGGTGTATATTTTTTATGTTTGGTCAATTAGCAAGACAAGCAGACAAGGAATAAAGAGGCCTTCAAAAAAAGAATGTTTTTACTACTGCAGAGCTTCTTGAACTATTTTACCATTTCCTCCTATATATCACAAGCATCTACTTGGGGTTGTTTTTATACACACACACAGACTCAGTAACATTGAAACACAGAAATAATTCTTCCTCCCTATAGTATTCATTCCAACTGAAGAATCAGGAGAAAAAAGTTATTCACATTCATTTTACTTTCTACAGCTAAGCAATTCTATATTCCCAAAGTTTATAGGGTTGCACCACTCTAATTTCATCAAAACATAACTTTGAAATCTGAAGCACTCTCCAAAGCGCATTCATTCAACTGTTAATAATACTTATTTATCCACAGCCTCACTTAAAAAAAAAATATGACTTCGGTCAACTTTTCCTTGTATATATGTACACTCATAATTCCAGCATATATATATATCACTTTGGAAAAAAACTAACTGGGTCTATGAAGGGACTGACTGCTAAAAAAAATGGATGTATTAATAAGATATATATATATATATTTCTGTAGCAATCTTCAAAACATAGCACGGTATCCTACATAAAGTGGTTTGCAACTACAATTTATTAGTTAATTGGTTTATGATATTTCTTAAAGATTCTACTTCTGAATACAATAGTATTAATAACAATGTATGACAAATCATTTTCACAATAAATAACGGATGCTATTTAGATCAAATCTCTATTGAGAAACAAAAGTATGTAAGTATTATGCTATAGCTTGAAATATTTAGATAATTCATTCAACAAATATTTATTAAATATCTACAATATTCACAATATTGCATCTGTTACAGACCTAGAGATAAAAAAGTGAGCAAAATAGCAAGGTCCATATTGACATGGAGATTAAATCTGATTGGAAATGAGCTCTACTTACATCATCTTGTTTCTTTTACTTCTAGTTAGTATCATTAGCCTCTCTATATCTAAGCAAATATACTCTTTAATAAAAGGAATTAATATTTCATAATGCTGTATTGTTGAAAAGCTGATCATAATTCAATATTTCTACATGAAATAAATGGAAAACTAGTGAATATTTTGTTGTCCAAATGAAATATGCCATCCGAAAAATTAAATGAGGATGTGTCAACAATGCACTAAATCCGTATAAAGACAAAAACTTATATGCTCCAATCTAGTGGTATATTTTTTTTTTTATAATGAGAGTGATAACAGACAGTAAAACAAATAACAGATAAGGAAATTTTGCAAGCAAAATGAATTCAAAATATAAGCCCAATTTGTGGCTACCTGTCTCCTGGTATTGGCATCCCCCAAACAACTGTGCGGACATTCATGAATCACAGACCAGTACATGTAGGATACACACAGGGACTTTCAGAAAGTCAACTAGGTTTTGGAATGTTGCTGGGTGCTATTCGTACAGTGTGTTTTCTTTCTTAACATTCATGAACCATGAATGTTCTACACACAGAATTAGTAAATCAAATCCAAGTAAATGATAAAAAATAGTATACCTGCTTTTAAGATTAATGTAAAACGCACCAAACAAGTTAAAGGATAATTACGTTCAATTACATGTAAAATGTTTACATTTGATATTTTAGCCATTTTTAACTGAGCTGCTCGTTAGCAGTGATGTCATTGCTGAGTTTCCCCAGCAGGGGGAAGCATAGCCTAATTATTGTTTTTGTACAGGGTTGAAGTGGGGGTGGGGGGGATGAGCTATACTACAATTTTACTGCGTTTTAAATGAAGATTGGTTGATATTTCATCATTAAATAAGCTACTTGACATTAAATAGGCTTTGACATCATTTAGGAAGCATAAAATGAACTTGGTTCAAAATCCCCAGTTCAAGGGACTATCCTAGTAAATCAGAGTGAAGACATCCAAACCATCTTCTACTTGAGTAGGATACCCAGTAATAATATACTGGGTCTATATTATGAGCATATTAATGAGTAATTTGCATGGCTTATTTTAAGACTACACTTTCTTCTTTGATATATTTAAATGAATATATTTGCTGCCTACTACTCTCCAGTTGCTACCACATACAAAGTGTGCACTTAAACTTGACTCCTTTTGGTTAACATGAGAAAATTGAGCATTAAGTCTCGTAAGGGTCTAACATCCTGAGTTTATCATACCTACAATAATAAAACATAATTCAGTGCTTTGTGTTCATTGGAATTTTCTTTCTTCAAGATTTTCTTTCTCTTCAGTTGTACTTCTCTAAGTATTCGGGCAGAGGTGTATAACTTGCATGCATGTGTGCGTATATGCATTATTGCTTATGGTTTTACCCTGGTGTTAGCAAGTTGAAAGATTAAAAATGCTATAACTTACCATGGTGTTGTAAGTCTGAACAGTGAGTCAGCGGATCTCCATTTCTTATATCTTGTCGTCTTGTGCGTCTAAAACAATTATATTTAAAAAATATTACTGTATCTCTATTCCCTCTTGGGAATTTGTCCTAAGAACTGAGAAGAGTCAAAGACCCTGGAAGTTTATCAGAAGAGATGCATCTACATCTGCCTAAAAGATTTTTTTAAAGTAGCTCATTATACCTATAACAGCAGTCTGCAAGATGATCAAAATGGAAAATAGTATATAAATGTACTAACAATGCACAAAAAGTCTTTCAAAGTATCAATAACAGAAAATTCATGGTTTCTTTTTGCTACTGAAAGTCAGTAAGAATCTAACATCTAGAAAATCTAAAATTCTTAATATCTTAAATTCTGAGGAAAAAGCACAAAATATAGAAGAGCAACCCGTTTATTCGATGAATAGAATTAAACTTTTTTCCTAATCTCTAATGAGGGAGTAAGCCTGAAAATTAAAACTCACATGCATGTTCTCTTTCTCTTAATACTTACACATAATTCCTTAAATAGACTTTTGTTAAATTATAGTATTAAGACTATGAATTCTACTTGTAAGTTAGTCTTTAATTTTTCTTTTTGGTTGCTATATCAACTTTTTTTATAAAACATTTCTTTTATGATTACATGGTTTTGATTGCAAACCAATTTACCTGCGAAGTGAATAAAAGGACAAAAACAGCAACAAATACCGTGGAGCAAGGCTCCTCCTTTTATCAGAGGAAGGTGAGAGAGAAGACGAACTTACATCTGAAAGAAAAGCTAAATTTGCTATAAAACTCGAAATTAATTTCTCCTGCATTCTACTGCTCAGATCATGTTACTTACAGTGCATTCTGGGAGTCCTCTCTCTACACTTGGCTACTGGTTGACTGGGAGGAAGGAGGTTGGCTCCAGCCGTTGTGGTGCCAACTAGATGTGTAGTTGGAGTAGAAGGCTAAAATTGGAGATTGGCTCTGTGTGACTGACTCGAAAAGACTGGGGACACTTGCCCATCTGTTTTCTGCATCTATTTTAATGGGTATTGTCTTGCTGCAAAGTTAGTTACCATCCTTGAAAAAAGCTCTCACAAAGGCCACTGAGAATTGCAAACATGGAATTTGTTACTGTATTCATAAATTTAGAAGTCCCAGGTATTTATAGATTTCTATTTGTAGAATTGGTGAGACTATCAAACAGATGTTGCACATTTCAAAATTGAGCCAACAAGGGAACTTGTGAAACACGAACCACAAAGCATTTGGGAAGGCATTTTATATTGCCATTGAAGCTTCTGAAAAATGCCGTCACAAAGAATATATAAATTGTGAGGCCTCTAAACATCCTTTTCAAAGACACATGAAATTGGATTAAGTAAAATCTGCAAGGCACAACAAAAATGTGTTAATGATAATTCCTTCAATCTTGGATTCTAGGTATGCAATAAACACATTTCAAATGTATAATAACATCCAGCTTTTTAACTTATTATAGATGTAGTTATGATCTTATTTTTATCTTCTTTCTCATTAAGAAAAGCTTAAAATGCAAATGGATTATTACTAAATTAGGCAATGTTATACATTTTCACATGGAAAGGAAATAATACCCATTTTTAGCTCAAACAAGAATTCCACACTTTCAAGCGACATTAAAAGCCCTTTAGAGCTAACTGATTTTAAGAAGCATAAAACCTTATTCTTAATTAATTTAATTTTATTGCTGTGAAAACAGCATATTCCTATTTATTAAATTATCCATGGTTTCTTTGATCAATAACACATTACCTCCCCACTAAGTTCTTGTTTTAAATTTAAATTTCCAACAAAGTCAATAGGTATATGAAAGTAATACTAACATGTTGTCTAAATTCTGAATATTGAAGGCTTAAGAAAACTGCATATTTATTAAATGGAATAAGTGAATACGTTTATATTTAATATTATTATTAACAAGGTAACTGTGTTTTAATCCATATGGACTGACTTTATGAAAGACTTAAGTTGTAGATGATTTAACACTACAGTCAATATTATCTATTGTAATCAAAATATTTAAGTAGATATTAGGGTTATTTCTTTTCCCTAATATTTTTCCAAAACCTTTAAAATGATCCAAATGTTGTAGAACACATCTCATTAGCAATGAAAAAAGCCATATTCTTACCTTCTTGTAAAACATTAGCTAAGATAAAAAAACAAACAAATTTTACTGCTCCTATAATGCATTGGCTTAATAATGGTAATTTCTATTAAATGTTTTAATATGTTCATGTGCATACTGTTAATCTTTATGTTTATATTAGCAATTATTGTACATTACTTCACCTATGATTGCTTTTCTAAAATACTGGTGAATATCAAGGGGCAAAGGTAGCCTTAAGTGAGTAGTAGAGAATACGCTGAAATGACTATTTTGTCAAATTAAGAAAGTGTTTTTGTTTTTTAAAACAAAAGTAAACCAAGCTTGTGTACAACATTTAGGAGGTGTCTAAGAGTCCCCTGAAGTATAACACCTCATTTTATTCATCAGAAAAAAGATGATGTATTTATATGAAGAAGTTGTTCCAAAAATGGAATCAGATAAGATAAATATGAAACACTGTGTTTATTTCTAATATTCCTCCTACCTCTTTGCAGTAGGAAAATAGCGAGAGCATGAAGAGCCATCCCAGGCACAGTAAGGGTCTCGGGCAAGGCAGCACTCTGCACAGGCTTTCCCGTAAATATCACATCTGTGTAAAGGGAGCTGTGTGACTCCCACAGTAGAGCCGATATATAGTTGTTGCTGTGGAAAGAGTTTACTGTTATGACAAAATCTACCTTGTTTTTCAAATCTCTTTTTTTCTTAAAAACAAAACAAAACAAAAGGTTCCAGCTTAGCAAAGATGCACTTATATTTGTGGGTTTAAAAACATTCCATTATTGGTAGTTTCTTCAAAGGCCTGGCAGGAAATGTCACCATTTAAACTAGAGCAAGATCAAAATCTAAGTAGTTGACTGAAACAGGTATATTTTATAAGTGTAAAACCAAGGGAAGATAAAGGAAGACAGCAATAGTTATATGTTAATTAAATCTCATAAAAATAAAAAATTTTAGACAGTAAGACACTGAGCAATGTAAAGTTCAAACCTTCAGTTTTTGCTCTTAGGTTGCTTTTTAAATTCCTACTGTTTATAATTTTGATTAATCAGATTATCTACATTTGCCATGTATTCTGATTGGTCTTGAGGCAGGGATCTTTTGCTTTTGACTCTTGGGTGCCCTATTGCATTGCCTGTAATGCAGTCTGCCCTCCTGTAAGAAGGGAAAGGGTGAAGTTTTGGCACTTGCATTGGTAAGAAGTTTTGCTCAACGCTAAATGTCTTGCCTTTGCACTACTTCCAGGAAGATTACTTTAAACAAAAGTACTCAATTACTTCTCATTCAAAAGATCTCAGATAGGGGAATCAAGTACACTCTGGCTGGTGCCGTGGACTTGAACAAAAAACTCAGGTGTTGTGGGAAAAAGTGGGGTATTGGGCATCAACATACTTGGATCCTAGGTCTTGCCTGACATTAACTCTCTTGTGATCTTGGGCCTTTCACATAATTTTTCTAAGACTTAACTTCCTTATTCATAAAATGAGCATGTTTAACTAGATCTTTAAAGTATGCATCTAGATAAAACATCTATGCTGCCACTATCTTCAGTGAATTTGAAATTATCAAAGGAGCCAGAATTGGGGGGAAAAAAGCTTTCTAACAGCAACTACTTCAGGATTTCAATACAAGTTAAAAAATATCTTTAACAAAGTTGGAGCAATGTAGCATACTAGTTGCAAATTTATGTAAATACAAAATGACATACAAATAAGACTGTTTTGTGATTTTTCTACATTTTACTGTAATTGGTGTCATAGCTCCCTTTATTGCTCTAGATGATTGAATAATTATAATAAAACATTAAATAAAAGTTGTGAAAATACTGAAACATGACAGTACGTATGAAAAACACCTCAAAAGTGCATTTTAATTTTCCACTATATAAATGAAAGTAAGTTACAGAAAAGCCAGTCTCTGAACCATGGTGTGCTCTTTTACTATAACAAATTGTCTAACAGTCAGCAATGGATATAATTTAAACTGCATTTCCAAAAGGCTCTCAAAGATGGGACTACACATGTAAATAGATATGTTTAAATGACGATATAAGTAACTATTAGAATCTATGAAGTTATTGAGGGTATAAGGAGTACCTTTAGAAAATAATTATATGCCGAAAGCTAACCAACTTACTTATATCTTAATATAAGAAAGGGAAAAAAAGGGGGAAGAGATAATACAATAAAAACTAAATTATTATGGAGGCAGATATACTGATTGCTTATTTCATTTCAGTAAGTGAAGAATATTTATAGTACATGAACATAGTATAGTATAGTATATAGAATATATAGTATATAGAATATGGAATGTATTACAGAAAATCAACTTCTTACTATATTCACCTTGTATTATTATATTGAAAGATGCTACAAACCATGGCAAATTAAGAAATGGTAGTTAAAGTCTCTGGGAGGAAAAGATGAAGTATTATTAAGTTTTTTGGTTGAGAGAAAATTATATTGATTTGTACCCCTCTTAAAGCATCTATAGAACCTGCATGTGATAACAGTTGATCATAATTTGAAAAATATTAACAGGGAACTTAGCTAATGGAAAGAAATTCTTTATTCTTTTTTTTCCCTCCTATTCTTTCCCTTCCAAAAGCACCTTTAAAAAAAAAAACAACTTAGATTGTATTGAAGGCAAGCAATCTCAATATGATAAAAAATGAAACAAACATAATGTTTAAACAACAATTAAATTAGTTAAAATGGGGTAGCAGTTTCTAGAAGCATGGTTGGCATTGGTGAATACAGACATGCCCAACCATATACTGTGGTCATAACTATTTAAAAAGCTACTGATCAAGTTGGTTATACCTAAGAAAAAGATTTCTATGTTTGGCCAATAACTTTTAAGAAGTATGAATGAAGTTCATACTTATAGATTTCTGTAAGAATATGGCATGAGTAGTAAAGGAGTTGTTATCCAAATGATAATATCTAAATCTGTCAGATTCCTTTAGGAGAAAATCAGAGAAATAATACATGAGAATAATATGAAACCAAAAATATGGCAACTGAAATTATTGTAATGAAAACCTAAAGTGTGATAAAATGCCCCAAATTAAATACAATTCAATGTAGTTTATATTTAACGATTATTCTGCAGTACTATTAATGATTTTCACAATGAATTATGCTATTTAAATGAAATATGGGGAACGCTTGGCAGGCACCATTGAGCATAATCCAGTCACCAGCAAATAACCTGACGTGCTTTTTCTGCCCAATTTAACATCACCACAGGCTTTCTCACTAACCTCCTTAACAAGCTGTGGTTCATAAGCAGGAGATGAGTCCATTTAACCAGAAAATTAGTTGCAACACTGCTTGTCCCTCTTGAAACTACTGCCTCACTTTTAAAATTTCCATGAGCATAAATGAAACTGAGTCACATCTGAATGAAATCAAACTCCAGTCACATCTGAATGGAAATCAAACTCCATCGGATGTTGTGAAAATTTTCCAGTAATGGAAAATCAAGGCTAGGGACACTTTCTTCTAACATAGTATTTTAGGTTGATAAATTGTCTTTGTTTTTTGGTGAAATGTGTTGCATTTAATAGGCAATTCTTAAGGTAGGTTTAAACACGTTAAAACAGAAAGAAATGTTTTACAAAACTAGATGCAATGTAATTAATGTTGACAAGTCTAGCAGAAAATAAATAAATAATTTAAAAAATCATTACAGGAAAGAATATCCTGGTCTAGCTACTATCCTGGAAATCCCTGGACTTCCTTGCCAACATTTGACAATTTTTAGATTACAAGAACAGGTGAACACACACTTAAGAAGTGTAAGATGACAGTATCAGGTCAATAATATCTGCACTCTGGATTTCTGTAAATAACTTGGAGATTATCAATCTATTTTGATATGAATGCGTGGAAAGGATATATACTGAGTTTCAGTGGCACAGTATTTTAGCATCCTGTATGAGGAACAATGTATGGTCAGAGATAAAACATGTAAACAGTTAAGAAATAAGATTCACCAAATCATTCTCAGATTCAATAATTTTGTATGTAAGTCTTCATACAAAACTTGTATGTAAGTTTACAGTGAGTAAAGGGCTCCCTACTCCTTCCTGGCTTTTTCTTCTAGGTTATTTAATAATTAATTTCAACTCAGGATCCAAGCCATTTTTTTCCTTTTAGTTACCTTTGATATACTGGATAGAAAGGCTAGGTAACATTTATGTGGAAAAGGTAATTCATTAGAAGTTAAAATTATATTTGTTTTGCCCATATCATTTAGCATTTAGAAGTCATTTGTGTTTCTTAAGAGTCTTGCCAAAGCATTCATTCAACGTGAATGAAAAGACTATTAACACACTGCCCTTAACCTTTGAATCCATGGAGTTTAATAACATCATTTGGCAGCGACCATTTTGCTGCTTCCCTTTTATATTTAGCCAAACTAAATGTTTTCTCTAGCACACAATACTACTGAAAAAGTAAAATTAACTTTTAAGTAAAAATCCTCCAAAAATATATAGTCCAGTGCATACTTTTATTAGCCTATATAATGTATTCTGTTTATACATACAAATTAAATTATAAATTTATTTATATTCTGAAATATTCACCAATGTTATTTTATTTTATTTTTTTTCATAAAGAGTACCCAGACCCGGGCACGAACCCGTGTCCCCTGCATCGGCAGGCGGACTCTCAACCACTGCGCCACCAGGGAAGCCCTCACCAATGTTATTTTAAAGGATAGATAGATGAAAATAATTACTGAGTACATTATATTATAATGACCAAAAAAGAAATGCTATAAATGAAAATTTACAACAAATAGTGATATAAGAAATATATTTATAGGACATATATGAGACTGGTCAAAAGCATGAGGGCAATGAATATTATCTTTAATTTCCTACTAGTTATTGTAAGAATTTTTTCTCTTGTTTTTTTGAACAATTGTTAATAAATCCATAAAATCTGATGGAACATATTTATCTATCTGAAACATAAAATTAACAAAATATAGAATATTGTATATACTCTAATATATAATGATAGTACCTGCTTAGTGGAAAGCTCCATTGCTGAAATAGCAGTCGGTTCCTAAAGAAGAAAAACAAAATGTGAATTGTTTAGTCAATTAGAAAAGTCATAAAATACCAACATAAATTTCCAGAAAGATAACTTCAGTGCCTGTAAGAAGCACTATAATTGGGAAATAAGACATGTAAAAGAAATTGCATAGACAAGTGTTGTATGTATGGAGCAGACAAGTGAATCCTCCAGTTAACGACCATCAGGAACATACCCATGAATCAGGTTGGGTTTATTGTCCACTGTGCATGGGAAGCTCAGTAAGAGAGGGATGGAAAGGGCTTATATGTTTTGGGCTTGTGTTAGGTGACTTAAGGAAGGGTTCCAGGAAGTAGGGCTTTGCTTTGCATTGGATGCTGTCAAAAAGCAGAGGTAATTCTACGATTAGGTATCTTCATAAGTCCTATTTAGGAGGGAAAAACAGAGTGAAGCTAAAGTAGTGATAGGTAAAGTAGCAATCACTCACTAGGGCAGGGTAGGGAGAAATTTGGTCATTTTTATGGTTTGGACAACGTTTACATTCTTTTCTGTGTTCAGATATTCAGAGATGATTACAGAATGGTCTTGCTTTTTTTTTTTTTTTTTTTGATTCATGGCCCCATCTGATGTTGGGGATCTGTGAAAATTTGTATGTTCAACTGGAGAACACCACCATGGCATACGTGAGACTGTCAGGCCAGCTCCTAATAGCGCCAAGGATGAGCTGAGAGTACTGAGCTGGTTTCCAGCTGTCAAGAACTGTGAGAGCTCAGTTGGGATGAGATTATTTCTTTATTATTAAAATGACTAAGACGCAAAGGCTTACACTTCAGGTCTCTGCTGGAGAACATAATCTCTTTAATTTCTATCAACAGGCTAATCTAGAGCAGTCATGACTAAGGAAGTAATCACCAATACACTTTGCTAAAGTGTTCTGCTAAAGCTTATCATAAACCTATGTAGGTTGCATAAATAAAGGCTGTTCTTTGATTAACTGAGACCACCAAAAGGCTATTCACCTGAATGCATTCGCTTATACTCTTAGATTCACTTTCATTTAACTGTGCTCCATCCTATGTCTCATCAATGACAAACACAACTTTAAGAAGAGATGGCTGGGGTTTTCAGAGACAGCTGATGACAAACAGGCTTAGATGGGAAGAACAAAATCCTAAAAGGTCTCTCTGTGTAGGTGACTGAAGTTAAGCCCTGAAGCAAGGGTAAAGAGTTGCACTCTGGGGTCAAATGTATGGGTTCAAATGGTAGTAACACAAACTTGGCCAGAAGTGTGATATTAGGTGTGGTATAGAATCTCGAATTTAGTTTTCTCATCTGAAAAATGAGTACAATGGTACCTTCCTCATAGGATTGCTGAGATGATTAAATGAATTAATAAATATAAAATACTTTACAAATGTGCTCATCACATAGTGTTTATTCAAATCTCTCCTCTTTCACATGCACAACATACACACTCAACACGTGCACACACACACACTCCCATATCCTTTCCTTGCTTTAGTTTTTCTCTTGAGTGCTTATCACTATCTAGAAATACATATATATGACATTTATGTATATATATGATTTATATATGACATTTATCTTGAGTCTTATAGGTATAGGAGATGAGTTTCCTCCTATACCTCAAAGCTCTTATCTGAAGGTAGAGAGTAAGGAACTAAGGATTGAGAGGAGGGAAGAAAAGTCAATAAAAAGTAGGTCATGTAAGTCACCACTGAGACAAAATCTGAGGATAGTAGACAATGACTCTCAAAACTATCCACTGAGGCTTGTACCAAGAAAAGTTTTATATATATATAAATATGGAAATATTCCATTACTCTTTGGATGCCTACAGGGTTGTTAAATCTCCCACACCCTCAGTTGTGACTCTTGCTTGTCCTTTTGCCTGTCAGGGAAGTGCTGGGGCAAAAACTAAAAGACACACAGTGAGAATTAGAGGTGAGGTTGACAGGCTATGAGGACAGCAGCAGAGGCATCTCACATGTTTTTTTTTTGAATTTATGAATTTTATTTTTTTATACAGCAGGTTATTAGTCATCCATTTTATACACATCAGTGTATACATGTCAATCCCAATTGCCCAATTCATCACACACACACACACACACACACACACACACACACAGAGCCCCGCCGCTTTCCCGCCTTGGTGTCCATACGTTTGTTCTCTACATCTCTGTCTCAATTTCTGCCCTGCAATCCGGTTCATCTATACCTTTTTTCTACGTTCGACATATATGTGCTAATATACGATATTTGTTTTGCTCTTTCTGACTTACTTCACTCTGTATGACAGTCTCTAGATTCATCCACGTCTCTACAAATGATCCAATTTCATTCCTTTTTATGGCAGAGTAATAGTCCATTGTATATACGTACCACATCTTCTTTATCCATTCATCTGTCGATGGGCATTTAGGTTGCTTCCATGACCTGGCTATTGCAAACAGTGCTGCAATGAAAGTTGGGGTGCATGTGTCTTTTTGAATTATGGTTTTCTCTGGGTATATGCCCAGTAGTGGGATGGCTGGGTCATATGGTAATTCTATTTTTAGTTTTTTAAGGAGCCTCCATACTATTCTCCATAGTGGCTGTATCAATTTACATTTGATCAACAGTGCAAGAGGGTTCCCTTTTCTCCAAACCCTCTCCAGCATTTGTTGTTTGTAGATTTTCTGATGATGCCCATTCTAACTGGTGTGAGGTGATACCTCATTGTAGTTTTGATTTGCATTTCTCTAATAATTAGTGATGTTGAGCAGCTTTTCATGTGCTTCTTGGCCATCTGTTGGTCTTCTTTGGAGAAATCTCTATTTCGGTGTTCTGCCCATTTTTGGATTGGGTTGTTTTTTTAATATTGAATGGCATGAGTTGTTTATGTATTTTGGAGACTAACCCTTTGTCTGTTTATTCGTTTGCAAATAATTTCTCCCATTCTGAGGATTGTCTTTTCATCTTGTGTATGGTTTCCTTTGCTGTGCAAAAGCTTTGAAGATTCATTAGGTCCCATATGTTTATTTTTCTTTTTATTTCCATTACTCTAGCAGGTGGATCAAAAAAGATCTTGCTGTGATTTATGTCAAAGAATGTTCTTCCTATGTTTTCCTCTAAGAGTTTTATAGTGTCCAGTCTTACATTTAGATCTCTAATGCATCTTGAGTTTATTTTTGTGTATGATGTTAGGGAGTGTCCTAATTTCATTCTTTTACATGTAGCTGTCCAGTTTTCCCAGCACCACTTATTGAAGAGACTGTCTTTTCTCCATTGTACATCGCTGCCTCCTTTGTCATAGATTAGTTGACCATAGGTGTGTGGGTTTATCTCTGGGCTTTCTAACCTGTTCATTGATCTATATTTATGTTTATGTGCCACTACCGTGTTGTCTTATTACTGTAGCTTTGTAGTATAGTCTGAAGTCAGGGAGTCTGATTCCTCCAGCACCATTTTTTCCCCTCAAGACTGCTTTGGCTATTTGGGGTCTTTTGTGTCTCCATACAAATTTTAAGTTTAAGATTTTTTGTTCTGGTTCTGTAAAACACACCATTGGTAATTTGACAGGGATTGCACTGAATCTGTAGATTGCTTTGGGTAGTATAGTCATCTCCACAATATTGATTCTTCCAATCTAAGAACATGGTATATCTCTCCATCTTTTGGTATCATCTTTAATTTCTTTCAACAGTGTCTTATAGTTTCTGCATACAGGTCTTTTATCTCCTTAGCTAAGCTTATTCATAAGTATTTTATTCTTTTTGTTGCAGTGGTAAATGGGAGTGTTTCCTTAATTTCTCTTTCAGATTTTTCAGCATAAGTGTATAGGAATGCAAGAGATTTCTGTTCATTGATTTTGTATTCTGCAACTTTACCAAATTCATTGATTAGCTCTAATAGTTTTCTGGTGGCATCTTTAGGATTCTCTATGTATAGTATCATGTCATCTGCAAACAGTGACAGTTTTACTTTTTCTTTTCCAATATGTATTCCTTTTTTTCTTTTTCTCCTCTGCCTGCCGTGGCTAGGACTTCCAAAGCTATGTTGAATAATAGTGGTGAGAGTGGACATGCTTGTCTTGTTCCTGATCTTAGAGGAAATGATTTCAGTTTTGCACCATTAAGACTGATGTTTGCTGTGGGTTTGTTGTATATGGCCTTTATTATGTTGAGGTAGTTTCCCTCTATGCCCACTTTCTGGAGAGTTATCATAAATGCATATTGAATTTTGTCAAAAGCCTTTTCTGCATCTATTGAGATGATCATATGGTTTTTATTCTTCAATTTGTTAATATGGTATATCATATTGATTTGCGTATACTGAAGAATCCTTGCATCCTTGGGATAAATCCCACTTGATCATGGTGTATGATCCTCTTAATGTGTTGTTGGATTCTGTTTGCTAGTATTTTGTTGAGGATTTCTGCATCTATATTCATGAATGATATTGGTTTGTAATTTTCTTTTGTAGTATCTTTGGTTTTGGTATCAGGGTGATGGTGGCCTCAAGAATGAATTTGGGAGTGTTCCTTCCTGTGCATTATTTATTTATTTATTTATTTATTTATTCATTCATTCATTCATTTATGGCTGTGTTGCATGTTCGCTTCTGTGCGTGGGCTTTCTCTAGTCGTGGCGAGCGGGGTCCACTCTTCATCGCGGTGCATGGGCCTCTCACTGTCGCAGCCTCACTTGTTGTGGAGCACAAATTCCAGATGCGCAGGCTCAGAAGTTGTGGCTCACGGGCCTAGTTGCTCCACGCCATGTGTGATCTTCCCAGACCAGGGCTCGATCCCGTGTCCCCTGCATTGGCAGGCAGATTCTCAGCCACTGTGCCACCAGGGAAGCGCCCGGTGCAATTTTCTGGAAGAGACTGAGAAGGATGGGTGTTAGCTCTTCTCTAAATGTTTGAAAGAATGCACTTGTGAAGCCATCTAGTTCTGGACTTTTGTTTGTTGGAAGATTTTTAATCACAGTGTCAATTTCATTACTTGTGAATGGTCTGTTCATATT